CGTGACACGGGACACCTCCAACAGCTTTGGCAGCAGCAGCAGCAACCTCAGTAAGGGGAGCTTGATCTTTGGGATGCCTGGGTCTTGTCTGTAATGAGTGCCGAGGTAGATGGCCACGATCTCCCCGATCTATAGTGTCGGGAAGTTGGGCACCGGACACTTGCTCTGCCCACTCATGCATTGATCAACGCCTTTGATAAAGCGGAGTATATAGTCGCTTTGGTATCGACGCTGAAGACAGTTCTAGGAGACAGGGTCGCATTGTTGCTGGTCCTGACGCGGTTGCTGGGGTTCAAAGCCTCGTGGTCGTTGCCATCTTGGTCAGTGGCTTCAGCTCGTCCTCATAACGCTTCTTATCGACGGCAGCCTTAGCCTCATAGAGGACACGCTGGTTGTTGCTGAGGGTCTTTTACCTTTTGCCCGGGGCACTTATTGTGGTTGTTGCCGTTGTTGGGGATGGCGTTGGCGTTGGCGTTGGCGTTGGGCGGCTTCGGCGTTAGGGGAGCAGGAGTTGGCAAGGAGGACAACGATGGGCTGTGCTCCTATCGGCACTTCTCTGGTTTCGGCTTTCTGGTCAACGAGTACGGCTTACGGTTCACGACTTACACGATTTACAACAAGCGGTTACGGTTTCCTGGTTCTCAAGGCTTTCGGTTTGCTTTTCATCTCGTCTCTGTTTGGAGGTTTGCTTCCAGGCGTTGGAGGTTTTCGGTTTGGAGCTTGGAGTTTGGGGATCTAGGATCTGGAGATACCCAAGGTACAGAGCGAGTGTGCGACGAGGCAACAAAGTGGAAGACCGTGGGAAGCTGTGGCTTTGGTTTGTCACTTTTTTCTTTTTCGGTTTCACCGATATTTCCTTTTTTTCGATCTCGAATCTTCAACATGGGCAGGGGCACTCATATGGCGCGCGGCAGCGGCTGCTTCTATATACCCATTTGCTTTTCGCTCACCAGACAGCAGACTAGAATTAGACGATACCCATTCGATCTCCCGCAAGTAAGGTACACATGACATTTAGAGCAGGACACCATCAATAGGAACAAGATATTTTCTCCTCTCAGCCATCCGGGCAATTTTCCTCGTCCCCACGACAGGAAAATTCGACGGTTGCAAAATTTGCAAAAGTGTGCGAAATGGCCAATACACGATGCAAAGTCACTTGTTGGTCTTGGTGTTCATATTGGAAGTCCAAGCTGGGCTTCTGCTTCTCCATGGCAATTGGCTACAGGTTGATGTGCTGGGCACAAAGGGTGTGAGCCGGCGGGACCGGCGTGAAGGACTTTCTCCAGTTGCGCATAGGTAATGTTCCTTCGGTTTGTGTGTCACTGCTAACTTTGACTGGACAGATCTCGATTGCCTCGTTTACCTCCCACACTCGATTGATTTCTCTTTCGCGACCTCATTCGTACCCTCCTCCTTCCCGACTTCGACCGCCCGATTCTCCTTCGCGACCTTGCTGATCTCATTCTTCCTTACAGCCGCTACGATTAAATTCTATACTTTATCGTTCTGCGACCGATCGATCGACTCCACCGACAGAAGTTGGACGGTCATGGCCATCATCTCTTCTTGGGCAGACCCCTCCGATCCAACTGTCGACTTGCCTCGCTTTTGCGATCCCGACGAACGATATCACAAGCTTCCCAGTAATCGGCCTCCTCGACAAGATAGCTACGGGACGGTCGATCATACGGGCCGAGCCGCCTTACAGACATCACCTGGTGATGGTGGGCCTTGGTGTTCTGAGTGGCAGCCGTGTAAGCCGTGTAAGTCGAGCGGTGACTTAGCGAGGACCTTGATGGTTCTGTATTTCACAGCGACAAGGGGGACAGGATCTTTTTGGATCCTGTGACTTCTCGCCTCAGGGACAATTACTCCTTGCGCGCTATCTCAGGACCGTCCTGTCCTTGCTGGAATTTCTCGTGGCAGTCTCCGTCTAAGCTTCTTCTCCGGAGACTCCTTGACATCATCCGGAGCATCCTCCGGAGCATCCTCCGAGTTGATGACAGGCAGGACAGTCTTAAAGCTGTAAGTCACATCTCTTCTTCTTTACACGGGCAGTTTCCCGTCCGCCCTTCCCTTTCCTTAAGTCAGCCAGCCAGCCAGCCAGCCAGCCAGCCAGCCAACCGATGTCATTGTTGTTGTCTGCTTAACGGTAAATTCCTTCAAAATGCGTAAATCCTACACAGATCCCAGTAAATGCCGCATCGTTCCACCACCTGCGGGTGAATGGTGCCCTCGATCCATTGAGGGTTAAGATCCGAGCCGCGGGGGGTTGTGGGTGCGACTCAGACACACAAATGACTGGTTAGTTGGCTGGTTGGCTACTGTTTTGAACAACTGATGTTTCTCTTACTTCTAGACTGAGGGGAAGAAAAAGAAGAAGCAGCTTGCCGCGGCCAGTGCCAGGAGTCCTCTTGACGCTACTGCTGGGGGTGGAGGTGAGGTTGTGGATGAGAAGGGCATGTCTCAGCGGGATTGGCGGAGTTGACTGCGTTGGTGATGTTGGCGGTATTATTGGCGTTTCCTCTCGCGGCAGTCATTGACGAGGTGGTATGGCCACCTTGCAAAGACGTCGGTCTCTACCCAACAGCAGAAGCCCATGCTGATACTATCTCCTCCACAGACCCGGAGCGGCGGAAGAGGGCAACATCAAGTACATGCTCTTCTCCGCCACATTTCCCATAGCCGCTCGTGGGCTTGTCATGACCCATCTAGCCGACAACTGCTCCCAAGGCTGCAGCATCAAATATATGCTCTTCTCGGCCACATTCCCCAAGGCCACTCGTGAGCTTGTCAAGACCCATTTAGCCAACTCTGCCCTCGAGGCCGCTCATGGCCTTGCCAGGACCCATCTTGCGGACAACCACTTGCGCCACCGCGCCGGTCACGCCGGAAGCACCCATAGCAACATCAAGTAGAGGTACATGCTCTTCTCGGCCACATTCCCAAATGCCGTTCTTGGGGTTGTCAGGATCCATCTGGCCGGCAAGTGGCCTCGAGGCTGCAACATCAAATACATGTTCTTCTCGGCCACATTCCCCAAGGCCGCTCATGGCCGCTCGCGGCCTTGCCAGGACCATCTTGCGGACAACCATGTGCGCCACCGCGCCGGTCATGCCGGAAGCACCCACAGCAACATCAAGCAGGACGCCATCTGGGCCGAACCGCATCCGAAGAAACAAGCTTGCCTGGACCTCCTCAACACATCGCCTCTTGGGCACCGGTCACACCATCATCTTTGTCAACAGCAAGCGTGCTGCTGATGAGCTGGACGACTTCCTCTTCAATAAGGAAGTTCCAAGGACACCACTCAGTCTTCACAGTTTTCCTGCACATGGCATATTTCTTGCAGGTTTTCTCGGGACCACCTCGGGAGCAGCTTGGTCACGGTCACACCGGTCACCAAGGCCGCGAGGCCCGTTGGCGATCCAGTGCTCTTGCACATGATGACCCCGGCTGAGCTATTTTCATCTGGATTGTGGTGCCACCTGACTGCCTGACTGCCTAGCGGTCTAGTGGGTAAGACAAACGGATGGATTTAACTGTGATTCACAGAACCGGAGTGGCAATACTCAGGTCTTGCACTTCCTTGCTCCAGGGTCGGTTCTTGCACGTTTTCTCGGGACAATCCTTTACCGTCAGGTGTGGTTCTTCGTGGGACGGCGTGGTCCGCGAGGAAGATTGCGCCGAAATACATTCACTGGAATGGTGCTTCCCGTCTTGCACGATCGGAAAGATGTCGGTGGCCGAAACGAACCAAGCGACTAATGCGGTGGGTGTACTCTTCGATGTTGGTTGGACTTATGCGGTGAGTGTGTATTCTTCGATGGTGGTCAAGGTGGCAGTTTGTACCATTGGTTATGGTCATTGGCTAACTGTTGGCAGGTCGTCGTGGTAGAAGCCGGTGTTGTCGAGCCTGCGTTATAAGCCCGCCGTCGTCTGAGCGAATGCTGGCCAAGTCGAAGCCACTGTTGTCGAACCCGAAGCGTGCGTTGTCTACACCAGAATCACCGTCTCTTCTTGGGTAGCCTAGCAATTTCTCGATACTACGGATACGGAATTATTGAGTATCGCGTGAATCGTGGCTGACTCTTGCTCCTCTTCCTGGTGAGGAAGTTGTGGCCGGAGTCGTGGCGGTTGCGTGTCGGCCGGGATCAGGACTTACAATATTAACCAGCTGGCCAATCTCGCGGCTATATTTCTGTCGCCATAACACTCACCAAATAAGAACGGTTACCAGCACATGATCAACAAGCCTGGCAACATCATAGCCACTGAGGCCCGAATGACAACGGTTGATAACCATTGCGATCAGGATGACAACAAGGGATCCGGCAAGCTCAAGCGCATTTGCTATTCCTCTCCGGCGCTGATCGCTTCGACTCCCCCAATGAGCAGCAAAGGCGCAATACCGCTAGTGAGGAACAGAGACCGACGAGAAAACAATTAGACCACTAGGTCAACACAGCGCTCTCGCCGAGATGCGAAGGCGTTTACCGCCGTCGACTGCTGCGTGGTCTCTCAACCAGGAACCACCAAGCTAAAGGGTATCGCTTCAGCTACGAGGTCAATCAGCAGCGCGTTCCTAGCTCCGGCTCCGTCCCAGGACTCGGGTGGCCACGTGGCGTTTCTCAAGGTTTCGGCTCCGGCTCCGGCAATCACGGCTACGGCCCCGATCAGGACGATGGAACGGTAACAACACCAACCTAAACGCCGGCAACCAGGTCTAGAACCAGCACCAGTCCGCCACTAATGTCGGCGCGACCAGTGTCTATCCCGAACTAGACCTCACTTAACCCTCATCAGCACACCAATTTGGTTGGGTTGAGGCAACTCTGTACCACTTTAACGAGCTCGCCAACCGTGAGACCGAGTGGGATAGTCAAGCTCGCATCTATAAGTAGGATAGCGAAGAGAATGGTTCACCTCACTTGACCCTCACCAACACACCAACCTGGTTGGGCTTCACTTCAAATGGACCTCCCGAAACTGGATCACTTCTTCGAGCAAATGCGAGCGACTGTCTAGGACAACACCGCTACCGAAATGCGCCATCACTCGCCCACATATGCGACTCGCCCGAACATCGACCCGTACCCTGGCGCCTCCCTCGCTTCTCCTCTTAGCGCTATGCGCGCATTAAACGGCACTGGCGCTCCTTATAGTCAATGGCACTGGCACTCCTTGTGATGCTGGCACTGACACTCCCATCCCTCAGCATATTTGTCCCTTGTCTGGGGGTTCCGCAGATATCTTGCGGATTTATTTTGCGGATGGTCGGCTGGCAACTTGAAACAGGACGGTATTAGCCCCGGACGCTCAATTTCTTCGTGTCGACAGGATATTTTTCGACTCTACATGCTCTGTTTTCTCGGAGACGTTCTGCTGGAGAAAGTTCCGAATAGTCTAGCCAGCCGCCAGGAGTGTGGGAGTACGAACAGAGGCGAGATCTTCGTCACGCTCGGTATAGAACGAAATGGCAAGACCTCTTTCGGCCGACACCTTGCTTACAAGTGGTATCGTGGGGTACGTCTCACCGTTCCCTGGCATTGCAGCCCTGGGGAGTACCAGTGTAGCTCCCACGAAAGACTGTGGGTGTAGGCTCTACAGCCTCTGGCGAGAGCTTCATAAGGGGAATCGCTCGTGGGAAAGAATGGGACGTGAGGGGATTGGGGCTTTTGGCTTTGGCGACTAGTGTCTATTCCGAGCCTACTTCACTTGACCCTCACCAACACACCAACTTGGGCTTTACCCCAAATGCGCGTATAAACGGCACCAGCACCCCTTATGGAATCGGCGCTCGTATCGCTTTGGCTGGAGCCGGAGCTGAAGCTGGAGTCAGAGCTGGAGCTGGGGTTGCTGTAATGGAGGCCGTATTGTAGGTGACGATGTTGCTTGTGACGGCACGGTCCAGGGGCTGGTGGTTGAGGGTGGTTGGAACACCGACAGAGGGATGGGGCGCTGAAGACGAGGATGGCCTCTAATTTGCGACTACTTTCGAGTGTCGTGGACCAGAATTGGAATTGCTTCACAAGAAAAGTGCCACCCGCACCTCCCCGTCCACTAGCTTTCCCAGAGCGACCTTGAATAGCTCCTCCTAATCGAGCACTCCCGTCATCTTCCTGTCAACCAGGTGCAGGCACAGTCTCGGTTAACTGTTGCACTAAATGGCTCACGCCAAAACCCCGCGAGCACCCGGAAGCCTTCGACGCTTACCACACAAGGCCTAGCAAGGCACCAGCTCCGGAATGTGGGCAATGAGAATGTTCCTCCCTATTCGGGAACCGAATCTTCTCCATGTTCAGCTCCTGGTATGTGTTTACAAGTTCTTTTATCCTGCCCTAGCTCTGGCTTGTCCAACATTGAACCTTACCGCTAGAGTATCAAGCGAGTGACTTCTCGTCCTGTATCTTGTCTACAACACGACAGACCTCCTACGGCCCCGAACCGTCGAATTACCAAGCAACTATTATTACCGACAACACCTCACGTATTGGCGGACCGAACGATTACACAGGATCAGGCACCTCTTACAACCCAGCCTGTTAATTATGCGCCCACTCAGTAGCTAAGTGCTAGCAGCGCACCGAACACTTAACTAAAGCCCCCGGTTACCTCTAGCGATTTTACCGACCACGGCCTGCCCGGTTCCAGGTTTGCGAGCACCCTGACCGGCGATGTGGAATTCTTCTATACCAGCTCCTCCTCACACCCAGCACCTTGTGCTGTTCCACCTAGCACCAGGGTCAACCATAGGTGGCTTGGCCGCGGAATGTCAGTCCAGTGTCTGGTCTGCCATCAGGAAAATATGGGTATGAAAGCGAGCTCACTGAGCCAGTGGGGAAGTTGCAAATGGTTATCGTAGAGTAGCTCCAAAGATGGACGTGGGTACACTTGACGGCGTGTCTATGTGGTCCTTCCAATGGGAGGTGGCCTGGTGGCTTCGCAACGTTTATCGTCTGCACAACAACGGGTCTACCACTACGTCTTGGAAACCGCTCCCGACACCCGGCCCTCCGGCTAGTCTTCTTACCAGCAACAGTTACATTCTACTTCTCCTTCCGGCACTTGCGCATCCAGCTCCATGATCTCTTCAAGCTCGGCGCGATTCCCCAGGAGATCAGTGCGATCGCCTCGCGAGACATCGCGCATTTCTGGCCGGGACCAGGACCACGACTCCCCTCAGACCCCGATGCAGCTTGACCTTTCAAGCACCGTTCCGAATAACAATAGTCAACAACAACAACAACAACAAC